CAGAAGTTCTGCCAAGTTCAGGCAACATGAGCCAACATCAGGTCATCTTCCCTCAACTTGATCCTCAACTTGTGTCAAGTATGCTGAAGATGACTGAACTTACGGTACCAAGCTGAACTTAGAAGCACTTTGTGCCATCCCTGAAAGACTTTTGTGCAATCCAATTCCAGAAAGTCTCATGCCATAGCCTCATGTTGGTCACTGTAACACAGAACAAACACTTTTCTCAAAGATGCCCAAGTTAGGCACTCTAACCAGCCCATCTTCAGGTTAGATGGACCTCACGCCGTCAAATCTCTAGGGTTTTGGGCGCTGCTTCACCAGCTGGCTTCCCTCAGCCCTCTCTAGATGCCTATAACACAAACTCCAAAAACCCTATTCCACACCCCCTTGTAACCCTAACCCTCATTCTGTGCACGACGCTCTTTGCCTTGCCTCTTGCAAAAGTCCAGACTGAGAGCTTGCCTCGTCAACATGCCCTAAGCTTCCACTCTCTCAGCACCATCCTGCTTGCGATTGGTGGCTGATGTATGAGCACGCAAGCGTGTGGAAGTGATTCTGATATCACCGCATGCATAGGTGTGTAATTGTATCTGATCCCACAGCCAAAGAGGTATGGTGTTTGGGATCAAAACTGATCTCACTGCCATAGCATAAAATTCTCCATCTCGCAAGCTGCCTTGAACAGGCGCAAAAGGGCCTATTTCTCACAGATAACGCCCTTGCGGTTGTTGGTGCACGCTCTACAAGCCAGACACAGCGAGAGCTGGTACAACTGTCAGCCCGATGTGTTCGTTCGAAGACTGGTTGCGCTGTATGGCTCGCACGCACTAACCATAGGGTAGGACAATCAGCGCAACGTTTGTACCATGGTTCGGTCCCTTTCCAATTGACGCGCCATTGCTCGTTTTGGGCGCTTCGCCGCGCACAAGTTGCAAGGGCACCAGTCTTGTGTGGCGAGCGCAGGCGATGTGCGACCGTTTCGAGATGGCCGTGGTTGACCGCAAGCGAACACGCTTCCCCGAAACCCCCCATCATCAGGTCGTCATCACACGAGATGATGGCGGTCAGAAAGCATGAGATTCAGGTGATGGATGCACCTTCGGATATGGGCGCGTGTCACGTGACAGTCGTGGTATTGGTTGAGAGGCGCTTCGCATACGTCTGCTTGATGAGTGCTTCTTCATCTCGAATGCTCTGCTTGAACTTGAAGCTGGCTACAACGGATGGCCAAGTGTGAATGGCGCCCTGCAAGTGGACAAACCGCAGGTGAAAATGGGCATCATGCCGCTTCCGCACGAGTGCAAGAGACTGCTCTGCCTCGTCCTTAGTGTGCGACGCAGGGGTATGAGAGGATGCTGGTTCGGGACGCGCAAGGATATAGTCGATGGGCGAGAGTACCGAAAGTGACTGGCTACCGCTGTCGTGCTCTTCCTGCGACGTCAGCGAATCGAGCTGATCTACAAGCGGGATTTCGTCTGCGACGATCTCTTGGCTGGAGCGAACGACGTCGCTGGTCGACGAGAGATTGGGCTCCTCGCAGACGTCCCTTTCTGCTCCTGACGGGCTCCGAATCGCGCGCAGCACACCAGTCTCGTCCACCTCCAAGCCCATGAGTGTAAGGTCTCCACCAGCTTTTGCAAAATCGAGGGTCGCCTGGTCCCACAGTGGAGCTGCCAACTCAGCTCGCACGGGAAAGATGTGACTAGACAAGAAGCTGACGACGCAATCGGCGATGCGCCGTGCCCGATTGCCTGAGTTGTGCCACTCTGCGTGTCGACGAGGCTTTCGCAAAACGCTCGTCAGAATTTCCAATGGCAACTCCCTAGGCTGGGCATTGATCACAGCAGAGTTGTATCGCTCTTTGGAACTTGCTTGTTTTAGACAAGACTCCCGCAGCATGCCCAGTCCGAATCCTTGGACGTCGACGAGCAATGGTACGGATGAGACCAAGAGATCCTCATCGTATGGCGAGTCCCAGTGATCCACGTCCAGTCCAATCTGACGGAGAAGTGGCAAAGCTGTAGTGAGGCGATCATCAGCAGAGCGACTTTACATAGCCGCACGCGTGGCTGCTCACCTTGCTTGGCGTTGTGGACGGCAATCAAGAGATTGCTGCGTATGCTGAGATACTGGATGATGTCGTAAAGAGCGCCCAAGACTTGGTACTCCGAAGCGAGCCTCGAGGAGCGATGAACGCGCCCCACTCCCTCAAACGCGTCATCGTGCCACTCAGAGGCGCGCGTCTGGCTGAATTCTTCGGTCAAGGTCGAGTCTGGAGCCGTGTCTGCAGCGTGACCAAAGGCAAAGATGCCCGTGTCTGGCGGTTTGCCAGCCGCAAAGGACCAGTGATTGCTCACGACATAATGCCACGAGCGGTACTCTTGCTTCTCGAACGTGAGGTAAATCTTCTGCCTTGCTGTCATATTGTCGATGTCAGACTGTGGGGCGTCGCTAGCTGACATGACGGTCCAGCCAATTTGCACCACATCAGAGCTATCCTTTTGGGTGCTGGGCAACGCGCTCGCCAATGGGTCGATCTCCAACCCTTTTCTCAGAAGCTCCCTGATCGAGGTACCCGTCTCTCGACCTGCGCTCGGCTGCGGATGTTCGGGTACGCCAGTACGAGTCTCGATGTCGATGGCGAGGATGCTGACACGCCTGAACTTTGAGTCGTGGGTCAGGTAGAGGGAGTGATCCGATTTGCCATCAAACCTGCTTCCCTTGATCTTTCTGCACTCATGCTCGCCCTGCATCAGGTACGCCTTGCTCCACCACCGTTTCAATTGTTTGAAGCGCGACGAAATGATTGTGCGCTCCGCATCCACCGCATCCACGTCCCGTGCACCCAGCTCTTCCTTGCTCTCCAACTCGCTTGCTCCAGCACGTCTCATGTGCACGGCATGCGATCCTCCTTGCCCGCCCTCGTCGCCCCGCTGTCTGTCCTCGATCTTGCCCCTCGTCCGCCTAGCGCGACTCGCTGCTGTTGCTGCCGAGGAGAAGGACTGGGACGGGTAGGCATCCGTGCGTGCCACAGAGCAGGCAATGGCAGCCCTTGCGAATGATGAGCCACTAGGTGCGCGTCCCGGAGCGCTCTTTCTTGGAAGCTGGGGACGAGAGCGAAGCAGCAACGGCCTGTATGCGCATGGTGTCATCATCGTGGAGAAGCCTGCTGCTCGATTCGCCGTGTTGAATGATGGATCGTGACGCCGCGGGCGAGCGCTCCTGATGATGCTTCGTGAGCCATGAGTGCGAGTGACTAGCCCCTGCGCTTGCGGGGCTGATGATCCTTAAGGTCCTTTGGCGGATAGTGATTGGCGAATGGCGACTGGCGACTGGTGATTGGCGACTGGTGACGATCGTGAGTGACCTGCTCATCCGTGCATCTGTTGTGCGGTGTGAACACAACAAAGGGAAACGACCAGATGCCGCTGGCCAGCACTCACGTGACTTGAGGCCGCTCGCTGGCCAGCAGCAGCTGCCGCGTCGCGCCGTGCTGTGCAAGCAGCCTGCTTCAGCTTGCATGGGGCGTGCGCGGTCGTGATCGGTCGCAAAGCCGAGCAAGCAGCAGCAGCATCAGGCATCAAGGCCGAGGCGTTGAGAGTCAAGACGAGCACCAGCAGTCACGAGTCGAGGGTCAAGAATCCTCCTTTGCCCATCCTCCATCTCTGTCCCTCCAAGCTCACCACACGTTCTCCACCTTGTTCCACTCCGCTTCCTCTTCGACTCGAGTCGGCTTCCGCACCGGCCCACGCCATGTCGCGATTTGTTCGCCCTTCCAAGTACCGGCACGTGTACGGCAACGCTGCCAAAAAGGAGGAATGGTACGACAACATCAAGGTGAGCTAGGTTAGCCAGCGAGTCTTTCGAGCGCCATCATCGCGTCACACTGCAGCTGATATCATCCCCTCGCTTTGCCGCAGGTCTCCAACAATGCGTGGGATACAAACCTGATTGCGAGCAACGGCAAGTACATCAGCGTCAATTGGAACGCATCCGGCGGAGGCGCATTCGCTCTCGTCCCGACATCGAGAAGAGGCAAGCTGCCAGACATCTACCCTCTTGCCAGAGGTCACACTGCGACTGTCCTCGACACTGCATTCAGCCCCTTCGATGATGACGTCTTGGCAAGCGCCAGCGACGATGGGACCGTCGGCATATGGAACGTGGCCAAAGAGGACGTGTGGAGCGTGCTGGATCTCAGCGAAAAGGAGAGGGACAAGGCAGGCGGTGTCAAGGACATTTCGCCAGTCTCAAAGATTCAGGCGGGTGGCAGGTGAGTGATGTTGGGCAGAATATGTGTGCGGCGGTGGTCGCTTCGAGTCGTCAAGGCCCCTCTTGGATGTCGAGTTCGCTCCTTTTCTGACGCCCACCTTGCGCATCGCCTCCGCAGAAAAGTCGGACAAGTGCTCTTTCACCCTACGGCTTCCAATGTCCTCGCAGCAGCTACAAACGACAGCATCAAGCTCTTTGACCTCGCTTCATCGACTCAGGCCAGCAAGATTGAGCTGACCGGCTTCACTGACAGCATACAATCTCTCGACTTTAATTGGTCAGGCAACACGCTCGTTGCTACCTGCAGGGATCGCAAGATTCGAACTTTTGACCCGCGAGTGGGCAGCAAAGCCGTTCAGGAAGCAGAGAGTCATGGCGGCATCAAGGGCGCAAGGGTGGTCTGGTGCGGCGCGCTCGATAGGTTCATCACTACCGGTGAGTTGGAATCGAAAGCCTCGTTGAGCTTGCAGAGAAATGGACGTGGTTGCTTTGATGGCGAGATCAGCTCGATCGAAGGATAATTAGGCGTCTAGACCGCGACGCACGAAGCCTAGCTCGCGTGCAAACGCACGATTGCTCGTCAGACTCGCCCAGCAGGTCGCCAGCGTGCCCTTCGCTAATGGTCCTGCTCGCTGTTCGTCATAGGCTTCAGCAAAATGTCCGATCGTCAATTGTTCTTGTGGGACTCCGGAAATGTCACCAAGCCTCTGAGTGAGTCCTCGCCGCGCCGACACAGTTCTAGTATGTCTGCTGAGCACGATTACGCGCGCCCACAGAAACGGTCCTGTTGGACAGCAGCAACGGTGTCATCATGCCATTCTGGTCGGACAACAACATCTGCTTCTTGGCTGGCAAGGGAGACGGAAACATCCGATGTGAGTCGAACGCGCTTCTGGAAGCGGACAAGCCTTGCTGAAAACGTCCGAACCTTTCCAGATTATGAGTTGGAGAATGATGAGCTGCACTATCTGACCGAGTACAAATCGACAGATCCTCAAAGAGGCATGAGCTTCATCCCGAGAAGGTCTTTGAACGTGGATGAGAATGAAATTGCAAGGGCGTACAAAGTCACAGGCAATGCAGTGCAACCAATCTCCTTTGTCGTGCCACGCAGGGCCGAAACTTTCCAAAGCGACATTTTCCCTCCAGGTGAGGGGCACGCGCTTCTCTCGCAACCTGTATCGCTTGCGGCTGACCGAGTGTACGCCACCGCCCACGCAGCGCCATCATCTGTGCCGGCGCTCTCCTCACAGGAATTCTTTGCAGGCAAGACTGCGAATCCCAACCTGATCAGCCTCGAGGATGGAAGCGGCGTCAAAGGCGACGCGATTGTCGCGCATGCTCCAGCTGCCATACCCGTATCTCCTGCGGCGCCTACCCCAGCTGCGCCTGGACCCGTCGCTCCTCCTACGCCTGCCGCTGCCCAAGCGCCTGCCCCAGCGCCTGTAGCAATACCTTCGCCGGCGATTCCAATCAAGACGGAGGCAAGCCCCCTTTCACCTTCGGCGGATCTTGGAAAAAGCAGATTCCGGAGCAGGGAGAACGGAGCGGGTCCTGCGCAGGCTGGAGAGCGCACTGCAGAGGTGAGTTGGTTTGCCGCTGATTCGCATCGATATTGGGACTGAAATCTACCCTCTTGGGACTCAGCTGGTGGAAGAGAATGAGAAGCTGCGTGCCCAGGTGCAGCAGCAACTGACGATGATCAGAGAGCTGGAAGTCGAGAATGAGAGGTGAGTGGTGCCCTTCCGTAGTGTGTGGAAGAGAGAGTCGAGACTGACATACCTGCGCTACGCATGCTGAATAGACTGCGAACCAATCAGCAGCGCGTCAGAGAGGCACTTTTGCAATAAGACAGTGCACAGGACGTGGAGGCAGTCTTTGACCCTCGCCTCCCTGAAGTTGGCGAGATTTGGACTCTGCGGCGGGCGCGCCTTGGTCTTGCCCGTGTTTGTCGGAAAGTCACTCCTGCAGAGTCTCGAATGTATAGAATTGAACCGCTTTCAAGTCTGGTGGTACGATGCTAAAGATTTGTACCTCTGCTGCATCGCCCGCCCGTCGCTGTGCTCTGACTCGATGAGCCGCTTTTTGTGTAGTAGAGTTGCGCTCTGTCAATTCCATCCCACTTGATTGTGCTGTGCGGGGGAATGAGCCACGCGGCTGGTGACAGCACGCAGAAGGTCATCTGAAGCAATCGGTCGCTGTACGTGTATATATACCCCTGCGCATCCGGCATCTTTGGTCATTTCGAGCGCTTATGGTGTAAGGGTAACATGGTCGCTTCCCACGTTTTCGCGGCGGGAGTGCGCGTTCATGTGACCTGTAGCGGCCGCCCCGGGTTCGAGTCCCGGTGAGCGCAAGCACCCCTATGGGGTAGCATACGATAAACTTGGAACGATACAGAGAAGATTAGCATTTGCCCCTGCACAAGGACGGATATTTGATCAGAAAAGGCGTTGCTTCGGCAACAAATATGTTTTTTTGATTGGCTCGCTTTTGGTGTCTGTCGAGACACACGTGCACCGTGGGTTGGCTCTCTCGGCGCTTCGAGGAGTCTTTGACCATGAACACGTGAAATCACGCATCACGAAGCGGAGTCGCGTGCGCGTGCACAACTGCACATATCCAAAATTGGGGTTGGCTCGGAGCGACCGACGGTGCCCGCGATGCGACTCAATCCACCCTCCCTTGCCATCACATCACATCACAGCCAGCGGGCCCACTCTTTTACCCCAGCAAGTCTTCACGAAGGTCGCCTTTTATTGTCCACCATGGTGCGAAGCTCGCCTGCAGCAGCGTTGACGCAAGCTGGGTGCTCCTATCGCTCCGTCCACATGCTCAGCGGCCCAAGGCGACTTTCACGAGTACAGCTTGCAGCTCGAGCGGGCACGTCGAAGGAGCCCAGTCTGTCCCGCCAGGGCTGCCCGACCCTCGAGCCTGCTAGATTCGCTCGCTGGAACACCATTACCGCAGCTCGAGCCACTCATGCTTTTGCGCCTTTCAGACCTTCGGCTGCTAGGCTGCTTGCTGGAAATGGCGAGTCGTCACAAGGAGCCTACGTTGCCAGGTGTGTACGTCGGAGCGGAGCTTTTGGGGAGGGTGGTGGGGGCTGAGGACACCTCTGCAGCTCTCGGCGAACTCCATGTGACTTGCAAAGGCAGAGGCTTCGCACGCCTAAGCTCGCTGCAATTGCTGACCGCGTCCCCCCCTCAATCCTCTGCTCTCGCGCGTTCGCAGCAAACAATCGCCGGAAGAGTACCATGCAGCCTCGGATCGCACGTTGAATGCGCTCATCGATCATTTGGAAGCGTTGACAGAGGAGCATTCGGGAGTGGCCAACGAGAGGGAAGCCGAATACTCTGTGAGTCGCTGCAAAGAAGCTGTTCGAGCTGAGAACGGCAAGTAACAGGCTCGTGATGACGCCAGGCGTGAGGATATGGAACTGCGGGGTGGAGATGCGGAAAGGAGGGGAGGGGGTGGAGGGGG